ACTTTTATGGGATATACGCCTTGACCAGCCTAAAGCAGACAGCTGTAGCTGTGCAGGAAGAGCCATTTGAAAGCTTGTTTAATGTTTGAAATTTCCTTTGTAAATCTAAAATTTAAAACTTCTTGTGTACCTATTCTGACAGTTGATTTTTTTGTTTTTTGATGCCTTCAGTAAACTTACCTGTTCCTTCGTTGTCACTGTCCTTTCTAGAAATGTCGGAAGGGATGATGAACAGCAAAATTGAAATGAAGATGGCAACTGTAGCATCAGTGACATAGCTGCAATAGATCAGTCAGATATTTAGTCTAGCCATGTTCTCATGAAATCTAGCCTACTTAATTTTTATTCCAAGTGAGGAGGAGAAGTGGTGGTACCTTGTATCACCTTTGTTGAAAAGAACTGTTGCCCAACCTGGTATGAAACCAGGGTCTCTTGTAAACCAGAGCAATACCAGTAATATGAAGATGATCAAAACTGCTATTTCTGCAAATTTCATGGAGCCCAATTTCTTGCTCTCTTCCTTGATAGTTTCATAGGCCTGTTTCTCCTTAGCCTTTGCAGAGGCATCTGCAGTACAACCAAAATTCTTCGGAAAACTAGAAAAAAAATGGACAACAAATGTGAGAGAAATTTGCCAGATACCTCAGAGTTAAGAATCCAAATGTTATACTCATTCATATGGTCTTTTAGATATAAGTATTTATATATGCATATAGAAATTATATATATAATTATTATTCTTATTATTGTAGCATCAGCAGCCACAGGTGTTGGATCATAACTGCATTGTACTGTGTGCCACCAAGATGACCAGAAACAAGCTTCCTGCCCCTAAAAGCCCATGATCTAAATATAAGCAGATATGCTGTCTGGACACAAGGGGAAATAATGTCAATGTTAGCGTGATTGACAAGGCTATATGTTCACCAGGAAGGTAAACAGTTGCCAAACTTTATAAAACTACAGAAAAGAAGAATTTTAAAAGAGGAATTTCAAGAGGAAAGTACCGTTTCAGGTATTACAGCACTCTTTCCATTTAAAAGAACGGAGGTTGGGGATAATCCAAAAGTGATAGGCTAAGTGTTAAACAGGTAACACAAGCTGGTTGTATGGGGTGATCAGCACTGGGAACTGGGATAGACCTCATCCTCTAGGTCTGTAGCAACTCTCCTCGCAAGGGTATTTACCAGCTGTATGTAGAAATCAATTTCCTGATCTGAAGCACAACAATCTTTCAGAGCATGAAAGCAATGCTGCAGAACAGGTTATGTGCAGTTATAATGTCCTATTTTCAGCTACAGAATATGTTTAGCTGGGGTTTGATCAGGTTCCTTGGAGGAAATGTTGCAGTATTTTAACAGATACCGAGTGCGCTGCTCTGCTGGTCTCTGGTGTACGTGAGGACTTTGTCACTTGCTGTCTGACTTCCAAGTGTAGGGTCATCAATAAAAGTATCACTTGTGTTACGCCATGTAATGAGCACTGGCTCACTGGCCTGTCAGCTCTATTACAGGGTGTAAAGGGAACTTACTTAAAGCCCAGGTACAGTATCTGCAGCCAAATCCACGTCAAAATCAGTAACACGATCATGGTGGGGAAGGCAAAGGAGAACCAAGAGGCAAAGTTGATGATATTGCCATTTCCGGGAAAGAGCCTGTAAAATGTAGATGGCTGTTAGCATCCAAAATTTTTCACTCTCTTCTGTACTTCATTGATGATTCAGAAAAGAGGAGGTACTGTGAGACCCACTGAGGAAGGTAACTTCTCAGCGAAGTTACTAAACCGATATTTTCCTTCTCTGTGTTGGCTGGAAGTCAGCTGTAGCAGAATGATGCAGTTTAGTGGGTATGTAATCCCAAACTCAACCAGACTTACTCATCAATTTGTCCTTGCAGTACCAGGTTTGGTGTGGTCCCAGTCAGAGTAGCAATCCCTCCAATACTGGCGGAATAACAAATACAGAGAGACATTCCCTTGGAGAAATTCCTGTGTTTCTCCTCCAGCAGATTCTCATTTCTCTTTCTGTCTTCCTCAATTGTCAGGACGTGACTATTACCTAGGTCCCAAGACAGGAACAAGAGTTACTGAAGGTGGAGTGGATAGGAAAGATCTTGTGCCTATGTAATTCAGTATTTCAAGGCAAGTATTTCGAAGCTGAAGGAACCAGACTTTCTCATTTTAATGCCAGCATTGTTAATGCTTTGATCTTCTGTTCATTTTCACTAGTTGTCTTGATACAGAGCAGTTCTTTTAGAAGAGGTTGAAATATGTGATAAAGTCCAATGGTACTGCTTGGTGAACTAGGGCAATGTCTGAACTGCATGTGGTGGGGCAAGAATTCAGGAGGTAGAGCAGAGTCGGACGAGTTGGACTGAAGGGAACTTGTTCTGTACCAGCAGCTGGCACTAAGATTTAGGTTGAGAAACAGTTGAGTTGTCTCAAAGGTCGGAACACAGCAAGGCAGCTGATATTATTGCATGATTCTATATCTTCAGATTAGAAAGACCATTTTAATCCCTAACCTTCTGGCATGAAATAGGGCAGAAATTTTCCCTTGGGAATTTCCTATTGTCTGATAAGTTATACAGTAGATAATAATTGAACTACCATAAATATATTGTGAAATATCAAGCCTAATGTAAAGGTTTCAGCTAATGGAGAATTTATACGTTTTGTTGTTTTATTGATTAGTTATCAACGTTTCATATTTTCAATCTATTTCTAACCAGGCAGAGTCAGTGGATCTTGCTGTGTGTTTGTCTGGTTCATGGAGGAGTCTCATAAATGCTGTCTGACACAGTCAGGAAGCTTTATGTACCTTCTTCTTTTAGAATTTACTAGCAACTGTAATGACAGTGAAGAAGGCGTGAGATCACCCTCCATTATCCCAAGGAGAAAAACACCCATAACCCAGTCACCTTTTTCCTCTGTTTCTTTGGAATTATCTGTTTTAGTTGGCTCTTCCTGCAGTTCAAAGGCTTTATTGATGTGATCAGAAGCTTGGCCACCTCTGCTGGACTCCACTTCGGACTTGTGCAACTGTTCCAACACGGCCTGTGCTATTGGGACCATCATGGCAGTGGTGGCGGTGTTGCTGATCCACATCGAGAGGAAGGCCGTCACAATCATGAAACCCATGAGAAGTCTGAAATTAAAAGGTTTGAAAAAGCCCATTCAGAGAACTGAGGACTGCAGTGCCCTTGGTTTTGTTGTTGTTGCCAAGCTTTGGTTACAAACACTTGGGTTTGGAAAATGCTTAGCAATTCACACCTAGCACTTCCTCTTACCCCAGTCACCACATTTGTGAATGTCACAAAAGTAAGATTTAATGTATTTTTTTCTTTTTGCAATTTAAGCCAATTGTGCTTTTACATTCTTCTGACTAGGAAAGTGGCAGCTGGTATCTCAGAGCAAAGAGTTTATCTAGTCAGTATCCTGCTTATTCTGCATGCATCCAAGGAAGACAGATCATCTCAATAACACATATTCATGTGTTATAATATATTTTACAGAGGAATTACAACCTGAATTTGATCCCAAATGGCAATCAGTTTAAGCCATAAGGAAGATGATCTCTCTTTTTTTTTTTGTTTGTAATTTTATCCTACCTCTATCATTTAAGATTCTCTTCTTACTCATATAAAATTCTAATCCTTGTTTCAGTATTACTGTATTATTTGTCTGAAAATTATTCTTTAGATGAGATGCAGATTATATGTTAGATGAAAAGGGCTTTATCTCGTATGCATTTTTATTCTATTGCTTTGTAATTTCCTTCAGTATTCCCTCTTCTCATGATCTGAGACAAATTAAATAGGGCCCTGTAGCCTCTGCATAGCTTAAAGTTCTAGTCTGGTAAACATTTGTTGTTTTCAAAACAAGCATCCCCATAATTTCTCTTCTCTTTGCAATCAGTATAACAGTTAGAGAGTATATGTTTTCTATGTTTCACTGTAGTCTTTCCTGATTGTCTAAATCTGTGCTTCTGGCCAAGCCTAGAAGCACCCTTGTCTTTTCAGAATTGACTCTCTTGCTGCTATTTCTCCACTTGGAGCCATTTGGAATTCAAAAAAGAGGCCCCACGTCTGTAACACACCTCAAAGGATCCCCGTTTGCAAGGTTTGCTCAGGCACTAACTCATTGGTACTGTAGAAAGCATTTGTAGGATATGATTTGCAGATTCACATAGGAGACTACAGGCAACTCTGAGATAGGAACCAATGACATGAAGTCCTTTATCCCACAAGTGTTTTCACAACTGTTACTCACAGGGCTGGTCTGACACCAGTGATAAGCAAGACCCGCAGAGCAACACGCTTGTGGAGGTTCCATTTCTCAATAGCAATGGCCATCAGCAGTCCCCCAATAAAAAGCATGTTGGTGTCCTTCAAATACTCCTGGCAGACCTGTAACATGGAACAAGGGAGAGAAAACAGTAACAAGAAGCCAAGAGAGAAGGCATTTTCTGAGGGAGAATCTTGTCCCAAAGACAGCACACAGTAACTATGCAATCCATCTAAGATGGGGAGGGACCTTTATCAGGGCCTGTGGCAATAGGATGAGGGGTAATGGTTTTAAACTGAAAGAGGGGAGATTTAGATTACATATTAGGAAGAAATTCTTTACTGTGTGGGTGGTGGACACTGGAACAGGTTGCCCAGAGAAGCTGTGTATGCCCCATCCCTGGAAGTGTTCAGGTGGAACTGGATGGTCTTTAAGGTCCCTTCTAACCCAAACCATTCTATGATTCTATTATCTAACAGTGAAACTGCTTTGATTTCAGATTAGCAGCTCCACCCAGAGTTCACTCTAGGGTCATGCAAGTTCTGTTCCACCGAGAAGGCAGTCGATTCCCTGTGTAACAATAGTGCAATTTTCTCTTCTTTGCACCACACTCTGGAAATCACCCTGGAAATAATCCCAGGGTAAGAGAAGCTGACCAATAAATACACAGGCAAACATGTATGGAGCAAGGTCTCTTACTTTTGTTGAATCCATGATGTTCATTAGTGGGAAGAGCAGGACAGGAAAGAGAGCTGTGACCGCCAACGGCAGGGCTTCCGTGCACCAAAACAATGCCATCACTATGATCACGTAGCCACATTGGGCCTCCTGGCAGAGGAAGAGTACACACAGTCAGAACAGACTGTACATCTCACGTAGGCTTGGAGAAGGCAACAGCCCGTAATTATATTCATTGCCTGATAAAGGGATTTGAGAAAAGGCTATTTTCTGTGTTCCCCTCCCGTCTGGCCTCCCACCTGTGCAGATCCTAATCAACTGACAAACTATTCAACAACCTTGTCAGAACAGTGAGGAAAAGACTGGGGCGTGCGATGGGGACAAACAAGAAACTTAGGAGAAGAAACAAATGGGTGACTTTGAACCCTTCATGATAAGGAAGCGGCTGTCTCTGCACAGACTTCTTGATTTTGCTGATGGTGGTATTTTCTTTTGATATATTTCTGTGTTTAATTTGCAGAAATAGTTACTGACTATTACTGTCAGGGTTTCTCCACCCCTTTTTCTGCACGTTTCAGAACATGGCCTAGATGAACCACAGCTAATTTCAACAGCCTGGATTCCTTGTACTGTAAATATTGGTATCAGTTATTGATTAGTCATTTATTAGTCATTTGTTGACTTAACTCATCTTATTTAATTGGACTTTTAGCTTGTTACAGAATTTGAACGGCTCACTGACAAACCGGTCACAGCTTCCACTGCCTTTGACTTGCTTCGTTGAAGAAGGTATGATTCCCCTATTTCATGTGCTCTTTGTCTGAGGGAACAGTGATTTAGTTCTGCTTTGGACAACCACTCCAAATTTTATGTAAAAATATTTAATTTAGTCCCATACACTAAAAAGATTGGAAATAACATATCACAAGGTATTTTCCTATGGCTGGGCTGGTGAAGAAAGCAAGGAAAAGTAACATTAGAGGTTACAGTGTCTCTTCCTCATTTTGGAACTAGCACAAGAATGGGTGCCAGCAAATCCAAAGGAAGAAAAAAGTGGTTGTTTAGGCTTGAATCAAGGATGTCCACAAAAATATACTGGACAGTATGAATGAAAATGTAGTGCTGCTTATTGAGGAAACAATGAAGAGACGGGAGGGTGTAACGGCTGTAAATTGCAGAGGACTAAACCAAGGAGCTGGAAGAGTTGCTGGCAAGAGTAAACTTGTGGTGCAAATGTGGTCAGGACTTCTGAACGCGGCATAGAAATTACAGAGCTGGTGAAGGGATGAACAGGGAGCTGAACAGTCTCTAGGAAAGAAGATAGTAATCTGGGTGGTAAATTACCAAAGCAGCAAGGTTGGAGAAGTAAAGCTGAAAGATATTAATGAAGAGATGAAAAGACGCCTTTTTGAGACTTATTTTTGAATGAGAGCAGTGAGAACCTGAATTACATATCCCATCCAGCACTGAAAGCAATTTTCCATTTTGGTGATAATTTTTCTCCCATTTTTGTGATTAAGAGATGCCAATGGGTGCCTTTTGAGAGACCTCAACAGGGCTTTGGAACATGTATCGTAGTCACAGTGCTATTCAGTTCCAGCCTGCTGTGAACAGCCTCACAGTCAAAGCTGGAATAAGGCTTTTCACAAAGTCAGTTGTCCTGCAGGGACATTCCTCTGCCTTTAGACAAAATCTTTAGCATTGTTTGCTCTCATTTGTAGTAGTTTAGTGTCCAGAGCAATGTCATTTATAGGACAGGTTAATAGCTCAACAGCACAGAAAAATGTGAAATTCCATCTGGTAAGTTGTCTGCTTACAACTCTGCCTGTGGAGGTACCAGCTTTTCCTGCTTAGCAGTACCACAGTGCACAATTCTAACACAAGAAATCTCCTTTCAGATTGCAAAGGGAAAAGTCCAGGACATTTTAATTTTTTGTGTTGTAGCTGACTACATAGAAACCAGAGAGAGACATTCAGAGAAACCAGAGGAACTCAACCAAGACTGCCAAATCATTCCACAGGTAACACCAAGGACTTGTTGTATGGTAACAATGACTCCAGCAAGTAAGTTTGAACTTCTGGCCTCAGGACAAAAGAAAAAAAAAAAAAATCTGGCTCCTGCTGGCCATTTAGAACTTTTCTGATCAAGATCTCTTATAACTTCAGTAACTCTGTTGCCTATGGAAAGTTAACTAGCAAAAAAGTACTTTTCTGTTTTTCTTCTTAGTAAGCTTTTAAGTGTTAAACTATTTTATTTGCATAGCAAAGTACTAGGAGGACACGCCTGATCAGTTAGCACATTTCACCTCAAGCCAATGCCACTCTATCACACTCTTGACTTCAGTCCTCTGGTCAAAACTCCGTAATCTCTCATAACACTTGGAAAAAGAGCTGTGAAGAAGAAGGAGCTTTGGGACAGACTGCAATTAAAAAAAAAAAAAAAAAAAGGCTCTGGCTGGCACCCATGGCACGTCCCCCATGGCACATCAGGCTCCTCCACTCACTCTCTCACCTCACCAAAGGGGCAGGAGGCAATAAAAAAAAAAAAAAAAAAAGGACAGGGAAGAGCTAGTGGATTGAAGAACAAAGCTTGGCGAAGGAGACTAGAAACTGGGAGTCACAGGAACCAGGAGACAGGCAGGCAGAGGAAGGAGCCAGGACTTGACATGCAAAGAGCAGTGGCAGGAGAGGTAGGTTGGGATTAGCTATTTAATGATGCTGGGACTGTAACGAGAGCACTGAAGAGCAGAGATTACATCTCTCTGCATGAAGAGATTGGGAGGGGGAGAAATAAGCCAGAGTGAAGCATCATCACAACCCTGGCAGTCTGCCTGGCTCACAGTGCTGTATTTAGATGATCGATGTCTCAGAAAAACCTACTACAAGTTTTTGTAGTTAATTTTTTCTGAAGGGATCTTAAGCAAAGTGTCTTCCAAAACTTGGCATTTTAAATTTTAAATCATTACTTGGAGAAATTGTTACAGAAATACGCTAAAAACAAGAGTGAAATACCTATTATTTTATCCTTAATTATCAGAATGCCTTGTCCACCTGACCAAGAAAAATGCCTCTTCTATCTGGCACGGCAACAAGGAAACAATTAGAAGAGGATGTGGACTGGATACTTCTAGAAAATCAGAAGGGGGATTAAAATTGAGCCTTAGATGGTCAATTAGGTCCACATATATAAGCTTCAACATAGAAAGTCCTTTGCTAAATCAGTTAGATGCAAAGCAAAAGTTAAAAATCTCATGTCCCTGAGCATTCTTCTAGAATATGCAATCACTGATGTATCTGTTCATCCATCTGTGTCCTACTGCTTTTATATTCCCCCACTATCGGTCAAAGGGGTCTGCTCAGAAAAAAAAAAAAAAGATCTTCAGATCTTCGAGCAATAAATGAAGGTAGTGCATCCGAGAGAGAATCTGTACATTCTCTTCAGGTCCGTCACTTAAAAGGAACAACTCTAAGGTGAGATTTGGCTCTCAAATTCAATTTAAAAAGTTCTTACCTTGGTAGGGACAGCCAGAGGCAGAGGGAGAAACACCAGGGGTACGAGCACTATGATCAGGTATTTCCTGAAGGCAAGTGTCATCTGCAGGATGCCAGCCATGGTGCTGGAGCTAGCCCAGTGCTGAAAGGCCCGAGCTCTGCTGCTGGAGACTATATAAACACTGGGGAATATTAACCATTGACCTCAGGAGATTGGGTGTTGTTTTTGGAACTGTAATCGGAGAAAGAAGGAAGAGAACAAAGAAGGGAGGGGACAGCAAAAGAGTGTCAGACCAAGAACTTTCTTAAGACAATATTCCTGGTAACTGGTAAATGCAGGAGAGAATTAACTCCTTGTGGACCAAGTGGCTTTATTAAAAGCATCCTGAAGTGACCTACGCTTTTTAAAAAGAATATTAATCTTTTGGTCTTTAACAATGCCTTCTTTGAAGAATTGTTGAAAATGGTTTTAAAAATATGTAGAGTACTGAAAAACACATCTGCATCTGCAATACTCAAATATAGAGATTAGAAACATCTACACAAAGCGTTACATAAACATCATTGCATTCACTGAGGAAATCTTTGGGTGGCAAAATCCACTGGAGCAGAGCTTCTGTCACCAGATGCCACATCGAGTCCCCGCGCAAGAAGGGATTTATAGTCCTTACCACCCGAGAGCAGGGACACCTGTCTTTGTGTGGTCCAGGGGTGATCCTCATGACAATTCCATTTTCTTCTACTCAAAGAGAAATAGGTGAAGCGCTCGGGCCTGGTGAAAACTCAGTTCCTCCCCCGTGGCAGCCCAGAGTGTTATGAGAAAGGTGTGGGGACAAAGAAGGAACCTGGTGACTCTTTCTGACACAGTCTGTTGCATCTCGGTGCATTGGGAAAGACTTGGCTGCAGTGCATCACTGCAGACATTGGGCTGGTTTTATTTCCACCTCTCTGATCTTGCAGGTTTATAGGCACAGCTTTGGTAGCTTGCAAGGTGTATTGGGGGGGGGGGGGGGAAAAAAAAAAAAAGGGGGGGGGGGGGAATCGCCCCCCCCCCCCCCCCCCCAACCTAGCTCTGTCTGCCGCATCCGCATCAGGGCGGACCCTGTGCCAGAAACGCTTGGGGGGGGGGGGGGAAAAAAAAGAAAAAGGGTGAAAAAAAGTGCTACTGGGAAATTACCAGCAATACTTGTGCTATTTGCAAGAAACTTTGAAAACACAAGGAAAGGATTACTTGGTTCTGTAAATACACCAGAACGGAATTGAAGTTTTCAATTCCAAAGGGAGTGTCTTGTTAATGTCTTTGAAGTCTTTATTTGGTAGATTATGCAAGTGCATGCTTCAGATAATGGTGATAACATTTCCATTTTATTGGTATAAATTGTCACAGCTCTGTTTATAGCTTACTCAGGCAGAGAGAGAGAGAGAAGCACAGACGTTAGGTCATCTGATGTCAGCTCCACAAAGAGCTTCTGCTGTTTCTCTCTCTCATCCCTTTTCTGCTGGGGCTTGTTTTCTTTCGATAACCTGCTTATGGTGGAAAAAGGGTGGGGTTTCAGTTGTGAGAGCTGCAAACCCACTGCTCTCCTGCAGGCCGGACTTAGGCATGTTGCTCACAAGAAATAACTTCATGTTAAAAAACTGCCAATCCTGAGCTTTAGCGTTTCACCCTTGGTACAAAAAAAAATGAGAAAGAGCTTTCAAATGATTCAAATGAATTATATACTCAACTCACCCCCACATTTTGCATCCACTTAATGTTGAATTAGTGTTTGAAAAGGTGCAGTGACAAAATCAGCCAATGACAAAGTAATTTTTCTATTTTCTACTCTCAAGTGCTAGAGTTGCAATCAAAATCTGAACGGAAACCTCTGTTTTTCACATCTCTGGAACACAAAGGTTGGCCTCCAGCTGCAGCCTGGCCTACGGGGTGTGAGTGACAACGCAGAAGGGCCTCAGCTGACGAATCGTGCCTGTTCTTCAGAACCAGCACATCTACAGGGTTTGTTTCCACTGCTACGTGAGTCCTGCTGCTTTCAAAGATGGTATAAATGATCTTTATGTGTATATTCCTGCAAAATGAATGGGTTTTGTCTTCAGGGGGATTTGTTAGAGCTTCACCTGTAGCCCATTAACACTCCCTCGATGGTGTCAAAGGAGTGATGCCAGTTTACATTAATGGAACCACTCCAGTTTATATAAACGGGTTAATCTAATACTCTGAATTGTGTTCTTTGAATTTAAAGAACAACTTGGTCGTTGCTTACTGATCTGCTCTTCAAGGCAGACCGAAAGTAACAGCACAGCCAAAATCTCCTGTGTGTTACAGTTTATAAGTTATTTTGTCCTTTAGAAGCAAAAGCATTTTCTAATGTGCTGTGAATTAATAGAAGTGATTACACATTGCTAGCTACCACATTTCTCAGATTCCCAGTGCATTGAAAACGTTGATTATAACTTTTCCTTTGTTTGGAGGTAAGGAGAGAGCGGGGTTTAAGTTTAAATTCCTTTAACCATCAATAAATGGACCTGTTGGAGCGGGTTCAGAGGAGGCCACAAAGATGATCCCAGGGTTGGAGCACCTCTGCTGTGAGGACAGGCTGAGAGAACTGGGGAAGAAAAGGCTCCAGGGAGACCTTAGAGCCCCTTCCAGCACCTAAAGGGGCTCCAGGAAAGCTGGGGAGGGACTCTGGTCAGGGAGTAGGGCAACAGGAGGAGGGGTATTGGTTTTAAACTGAGAGGGGAGATTTAGATTAGATACTGGGAAAAAATTGTTTATTGTGAGGGTGGTGAGACACTGGAACAGGTTGCCCCGAGAAGCTGTGGCTGCCCCATCCCTGGAGGGGTTCAAGGCCAGGCTGGATGGGGCTTTGAGGAACCTGCTCTGGTGGGAGGTGTCCCTGCCCAGGGTGGACAGGGTGGAACTTGGATGGTCTTTAAGGTCCCTTCCAACCCTAAACCATTCTACGATCGTGTGAAATAACACTAAAAGGAGCTGAAAGCTACATGTTTAGCAGGGACCCAAGCGCAAGCCCCGCCGCTCGGAAGGTGATGGGAACACGGAGCTGAGCCCTTCCCCGGTTCACGGGGGGACATCACGACAACCAGCCCCAAATCCCCCCGGTTCCCCCCGTCCTGCTGCCGCCTCCGGGGGCGGGGCGGGGCCGGCGGGCGAGGGCAGCCCGTCCCGGGCGGAGCGCTCGGCTCCTCCGCCCCCCGTCGCCGCCCGTCGAGCCGCTCCTCTTCCTGGCCACGCTGTCCCTCGGTCTGCAGGGCCCGCTGGCCACCCAGTACCTCTGGGACCGCCTGGGGGCCGAGCGTGGCTACAACGGCCCCAACGCCAGTAGCCCCGCCGCCTGCGGCAACGACAGCGCCGCCGACGAGCCCCTACGGCAGG